TTGCCCTTGGTATGCCCTTAGGTTACCTTTTCTTCATAACCAAGGAAACTTCCTTTCTGTCTCTCTTTTGTCCAAGGTAKTTAATTTCTTATGTTATCAATAGATGCCAGAAGCTGGAGGTGGGATTTAAAAACCACCTGAAGCCTCATGATAGTATCTCCAGAGATAGCATTTTTATAGACCGAGTGACTAGAAATTTGGTACTGGTACACTTGACTGCTCAGTGACTCCTACAGTATTTTTTGTATATTTGGTTCTGTCATTTTTTAGCACAGTTATTATACTGCTTCAAAGTCTGCCTTTCAGAAACTCCCCACCTCCATCTGAAAACATTTTACTTCCCTTTTTTCATCTGTTTCATCCATACATCCATGTTGCCTATTTTTGTGTTTGGTTTATAGAGCTTATCTGAAGTTACCCTGTAAGCAATTTGAAGATTTCAATCACTTACTTTCTGAAAGGTCATTTTCTTTTTTACTGAATGCTAGCTGAGATTTTTTTCCCTGCTATTCTGCATTAATTAATCCTCTTATATCCTTTATCAAAGTGACTGTGTTTTCCAAGACATTTTTTCTATTACTTTGATGTGCTCCACACTGGACAGGTGCCTAGATGTGAGTCTAACAGGTCCCACACCATGTTGAAACACTTTTTCCTGACTTCTGTTGAGTGGCTGGTTTTATGAAATAATTTTCAACTTTTTTGCCTTTTTCTGTCTATGGATTTGCCTCTCTCCAAGCGTTTTGTCACCCCAGTTTACAGCTTACAGCTGGTATAGTTTCACTGAATCAGAATATAGTAAAATGAAATTATTACTACAGAATAGGGGATCAGGCCATACTGTTCTAATTTTCAGAGTTTTGGGATGGCTTTTTCTTCCTGCAGTGAAGCAAGTCTCCACTGCAGATGGGCCTGCAGCGGGGGCCGTAGGATAAGTTAGTTACTCAAAAGAAATGAACCCACACTCGCAGAGGGTGAACACATTTTCTAGGATCATTTTATTTTACTCTCTACACAACACACTGTGTTTTGTGAACAATATACAGAAAACTACAGGTGGRAAATATCACATATGGTGAGTCTTTTTGTCTCAGCAGTACATTCAAGAGGCAGGGTGGTTCTCCAGATTTGGTTGTATTGTCCCAACAATTGGTGTACCTTGTCTTATCTGTGACAGAGTGGCACCATCCCTSTTGTCCTTAGTTTTAAGCAATCAGTAGCTCAGGGGCCATTTGCACTGGCACATTTTGTAGCTGTTCTGCAACCTAGAGGAACAGCTTTGATAAAATTTTAAAAATTTGCATCCTCTCAGTCTGGTCTGTGCCTAGGTTTCCATTTGCACAGAAAAGGCTTAACATCCACAACYTATGTAGTGAATATTTGTTTGAGTGTGCAAACATTTCACCACAGTGGCCATTTCACCAGGTTCTAATTTKGTGTGTGTGTTTTGGAGAATATTTTCCTTGCTTAATTTTTTGTGTGATTCCTATGAAATGCATTGTAGCRTATACTCAAGTTAAGGGATATAAACATTCCTTTTATGATTCTGTATAATAGTCTATATTGTAGTACCCTGTATTTGTAGAAAAATTTAGAGTGAAAACTTGTCTCTTTTGTTAAGAAGATTCTTTTATAAATAATACAGATTGTGTAGCTTAGATAAATGTCAAAGCTAACATTTTACAGATGGTGAGAGTTGTATAGACACAATGAGCTATGAAAAATATTTTCAATTTTTTTTAAATTTCAAGATGTGCATGTTGTCTACTTCAGACTGATTTATTTAGGCTGGTAGCAAAAGAAAGCTSTATTTAATGATTAGATCATTATCATCTCTCTGGTTACCACAGAGATGCACAGTGCTACAGAGTGAACTGTAATTTATTTATCTGTTAATATTTTTGTATTGTATTATAATTACCTCTAGTTGTCTTCTTGCGTATCCTTCCTGCACTTGTTGGTGTTTTGTTTTTTGMAAACATTTACTGTTAAAGGGTTTCTTTAAAAAAAAGCCTTGAATATGCTTTAAAATTGTGGTTATAGGCATTTAAATTTTTTATTTTCGATCATGGAAATTACTAGTAGGTAATAGAAATACCAGTCTTTGTKTGTAAACAGTCATAACATAAACAGTCTATACCCCTTCCTTTCTTCCCACAGATGTTTTTCATTTTCAAAACTGAGAATGTTAGAGAGTGGAGGAGACTTCATGTCAGTATGTCCTTTTTTTTACTACCTGCAGCATCTAGCTTCATGGGTTGTATAGCACTATTATTAAAATTTCTGGTCACATATTATTATTATAACTTTTAGCTTTTTTGGTGCAAACATGACCTCTCTCTTTCCACTGTCCCTTCATGATCAGTGTGGCTCATTGCTTTGTTGCACATTTTCTGTTGTATTTTGTTGCCACCACCTCTTATCCTCCGCCCTTTGGCCAGCAATGATTGTATTAGCAGCTATGATATAAAATGTAATTTGGATATATCCCTCAATTATGCTAATTATCAGGTCAATTTATCTTTGCTACTTGCTGGTCATATTTAYAATTTGTTTAGCATGATTTTTTAATGTTAAAACCCTTGAAATTAGTTTTTATAAGGCTCTGTCAAACTTTTGAAGAAATCAATTATATGTCACAGGTTGTGTTGGTACATTAAGGCATGGATGTGAGAGCTGCAAAAAATGACTGGAATTATAGCAAATAATAAAATTGGCCAAGGAACATCACTCCTATTTTAAGTCACATTTGTAATAGTGATAAAGTTAGAGACACTGTGCTTTAAGATAATTTTACACAGATTAAGGAAATACCCTAATTTGGTTAAGCGTACAGTTTACCAGTAACGTTTCTCCAATCTTTTAGTACATGTGGGGCTATTTTTCTCCCACAAGTATTTGCAGTAATGTTTTACTACTTGTTTAGCTTCTCCTCTGGGAATYAGAAATAGTGTTTTTCCGTGATGGTGCATGACATGATGTTTCGGTATTATAAACTGACTTGGGATCCAGTGAATAAAAATTTATCAAAATGTCTGATTCTAATAGTTATTTGCTTGTTTAAGGGTAACAGTATTTTAACAAGTTTTTGTAGAATATTATCCAGTTTCAAGCATTTTTAAATGAGATTCTGTTTTTATCTTAGTTGCTTCTTAAAGGGAATAAATGTGTTTGWTAGGACTTCTATCATCTTTCTTCACTCCCAAGAACTGTTAAAATTACACATTAATGAAACAGTAACCTTCTCTGTGATCTACTACATAGCAGCAGAAATGTCTGGCTGTGATTAAAATAGAAACACTGCATGGAAAAATTGCCATTAAAATGTAAACAGGATTTTTTTTTTAAGTCACGATAAGAAAACTGAAATGAAATATAATATCATATGATCACTGCAAATAAATTTTTAAAATAAATTTGCAATAAAATTGGATACTATAAAGATGATTATAGTAGTGTGGTACAGAATAATATTAGTGTGGTACAGAACATGTTAATACAGTAATTTTGAATTACACTCCAGATTTCTTTGAAAATGTATATTTTTTTTGTGTGTAAGACTACTTTAAGCTGCAAGGAGAGGCAATAAAAAGTTGTAAACGTATTTTAACTGAGAACTTTGAAAGTGTTTTCATTCACTAGTGTCAGATGTTGAAACCTTCAAAAGCAAGATGAGTGTTCGTTTGTTATAGGTGTGGGAGCTGTTCATCTGCTTGCCCATCTTCGTATGTGAGGAGAAAATCTAAAACCCCGAGGATCTGTGAATGTTATTCCTCTTTTAAGATGAAATGAAGGTTAACAACCCAGATAATTGTTTTGCACGAATATGGAGGTTGGAAGTGCTTTGGTACCAGTGAAAAGTAGCTTTTATTTCAGATGATGACTACACATAGTTAGGAGGCCTCCAGATAACTTAAAAAGAAAGACTGTGAACCAGGTCCTGAAATCATGAATGGACAATGAGGATTAAGAGAAGAAAACTGATCACTAAGGAACACTTGTTTGATGCTTTGCTGAGCAATGCATAGCAATGCTCAGCATAATGTGAGTTTTTTTGATCTTGGTTGTTTCATATTTTTTGTGAAGAAAATATTTGAAGCTAGAAGTAACAAATTCAARGATAGCTGTTGCTACTTGCAAACTTGAAAATCGGTTCAGTCTTCTGGCAAAATGTTGGTGAGGAAACTTCAGAATCTTGTGCAAGCAGCCAGAATAATCTCAAGTTTCTTCTTCTTCTAGTGTTGGTGTATKTACACAGGTGCTAAACTTGGTGCTGAAACAGATGCCACTGTTTATATCAACCTCCTTGGGATAAGAAGAGATATTGGCAAAAGAAAGCTTCATAGATCTAAKAATAATAATATTAAATTTTGACATGGACAGGTGAAGTAAAAACAGTGCTGTTTCTGGTCAATAAGAGTAAATTATGGATAGAAAACTGTTTCATCAAAAAAAGAAAATATATTTTTATTTGGCTTATTCTACCATTTTCTTATTCAAAATTGTTTGCATAATTGCAATATATGTCTAATTTTTACCGGCTTGATCAACCATTTAATGAGAATTTTAGATATTAGAATTGGGATAGGGTATTCTTGGGTATTTGTATTGCACATATAGATAAAATGGTAACAATAGCATTTTTGTTGTCCTGAACAGATCACTGTGAATTTTAGAATCAAGTTCTAAATCTGGATTCCTAAGTACGTTTTCCAATCTTAGTAAGGCAGATAGGGCTAGAAAATATAGTATGAACACAACCAAATTATTGTTTGAAACTGATCATTGTGTCATTCCAAAGGTACCACGTGCTGCCTCTGTGGAATAATTTTCAAGTGTTATTCACCTTACAAAATTTTAAAGGATCCTTACTGTCTGGCCAGGATCAATATAAAATTATTATATTCATGTTGGGAAAAAAAAATTTAAAAAGTGTTTTTCTCTACTATTAAGGTCAAAACAATAGCTGTTTTTAAGGCCTTTATCATTTTCCTTTTAAGGTTCCACAGATGGATATTTTCCGCATTAAGGCAGTCTCACTGGGAGATTTGGAGAAAGCTCTGATTAGCCATGATGGAATAGTTCCAGGTAGGATTTAATTTCCTAGAGACCAGTCTGTTTTCAAGTCCTTTTTAAACCCAATGCACATTGTTTATATTGCACCCTTCATAGAAAATGTGACAGAAGGYCTTGCAGTGATAAAAAGTCTTCCTGCAGGTTGATCACTGTGATGGGATGATGAAAAACAGTGGTAATGGATAGTAAAAAAAGGGCCATGAGTTTAAAGTCAAATACTGTCATTCCACTCTTTGTTTTCAAGATTACTTGTAAGAAAGCACTATTTATTTGCATATAGAAAACTCTCCAAAGTGAGGCTCATACTKGCTAGACAACCTGTTCGTTAGACAAACAGTAAAAACTGTCCAGGATGGAATTAAAGATATTCAGTAGCTAATTTGCTACCTGGCAAAATTTGAGTTGCTATAGCAAAATGTCCTTGGAGCCTTGGGCAATTGTAGAAGATTTGATTATATATTTGGTCTGTGCAAATCAATGTGGAGCTGTTCCAGTGAGTGACACTGCATTTAGCTTGTATGTTTTTCAGAAAAAAAAGAATTTGGTGATTAATTTTGGGTACAGGCCCCTGAAAAAGTGTACATCTCTGGGATGATGTAAATGAAGAAAAAGCTAGCATTTAAAAGAACCAAATATGTAAATACTGCAAATAAGTTTGCATATTAATATCTATGCAGAAGCTAAATGAAGGGTTTTTAAAGCAGTTCAGGGCCACACTGATAACAGATTTAAAAAGCCCTTTTACCCTACTCTGTTCTGAAATGGTCCCCAGCAACACCCCTCTTTCTGACTGTCTGTACTGCCCAAAGGCTCTGAGCAGGCTTGTGACTATTACAGAAATAGCTGTAATAGTGCAGCCTTGGAATGGTGTGTAATCTTGTTTCCTGTGTCTGCAGTTCCACAGAATCTGCTGCCTTCAGCAATGTGGGTGATTGTACACCTGAGAATTTCGCATCACAGTAACCCAAGAGATAACACAGARGGTGCTGTGGTGGAGCCCACCTCCCCTCCATTCCCCACAGCACCATGCCGTGCTCTCTTCCCTCATCTCTCCTTTAACAGCATGGATCAGCAGGATTGGCATTACAGATCTGTAACCACTTCAGCTGTCTCAAGCTGTTCTTTGACATTGGAGTTCAAATCTGTGGGTTTGAAGGACTGTCTGAACAAGCCAATGGATTGAACTCTATTTGTAATAAAATGTATGTTTTGGTAATTCTGGAAGTTGTTCATTGTACTCAGCACAGGCAGATCTCACATATTTCTTTTGAACTGTATCTAAAACTAGCTAMATATAAGCCTGGCCTGAGGTGACTGAGGTGTTGAGAGCTGCAAAAGGATGGTGACTGGAGAGAGACCACCAAAAGACTCAACATTTTGGGGGTTGAGAAGGAGGAAGGAGGGTTCCTTTAGAGGTGGAGTATCCCTGTTTCTCATCACTTGCCTGAGTGACCGGGCAGGAAGGTCTTTAGCCTTGACTTGGAGTCTAGATCATAGAACATATTTTTTCTTTGGGGGTCCTAAGCTGCAGGGCACAGACCTACTCCCAAAGCCACTGTGAATGAGGAAAATAAAGAAATTTTGTSCTAGAGAACAGGATTTTCTCCATGCTCTGCCTGGGGATGCCCTTTCTGGTCTTCCAGCCTCAGATGCAGCCAGGGAGGCAAAGCATAAGAGTAAATAGGATGATTGTTTGCTTTGACCAAAACATCCCTCATTTTGCTCCAATATGCTGATAGGGCTAAACCTCATAAGCAATATAACAGGTTGTGAGTGGTGCAGGCACACTGAGAACAAGATATTTGAGAAGGACATTGCAGGACAATGAGACCAATCACAGGGATGGTCATTGGAAGAGATTTAAAAGATCAGCATGGATGTGCCAAAGGTTACTGCARTGAGGGAGGAGATGAATTCAGTAGCCCAGCAGAAGCCTGACTGCACAGYTCCATGTCTGCTGGTCTCATGGCAGCCAGGCTGAGTGTGTGCTCCCAGCAGACATGCACACAAACACATTATAAAACACATAAATGTGTGCACATGGCTGGCCATGCAGATCAGCACAGACAGGAGCTCAGCATGGACACAAACTGTACAAGTGGCCTTACCCTGTTGCCCTCTCCAGCTGATTGGAACAACAGCCCATCACTGTCAAATAGAAAAAGAATGTACAGTATGGATGTATAAGGCCTCCAGTATCTGGCCTTAGGCAGTCAGTCTGGTTGCTGGCCCTGGATCCTTGGATCACCAGTTTTGCCAGTTTCTGGGAGGGACCAAGACATACAAAGCCCCTCCAAGGCTGGAGCCCCACTCCATTTGCACACGAGAGCATTAGTTTTAAAGATTCGTTAATTAATATTTTTATATATGCAATAAGGAGTTCACTCACAAAGGACCACAATTTCCATCTTTCACACAAATCTTGATTTGGCATAAACAAATTTGTSCCAGCATCCTTGTGCCTTATTACAGGGAATCAAAAGATGTAGGCTGGGATGTAAATGGTGTTGACAGTTCAGAGATGTATGCATGTATTTGTCTCCAAGGTAAAAAACCCACCCCTCTTAAAATTAAAACAGGGTAAGGCAGAGAAGAATTACATCTCCTATGACAGACCAAAAATAATATAGCTTTCATACTGTTAATAGATCTTATTTATTTAGATGAAATCTGTCTTAATATGATCTGTGTTTCTGCTAGGAAAAGATAATCTGGGCTTTTTTTCTTAAAATTTATTAAAAGAAAAAAAAGATTTCACATGATAAGCTTTTGTCATTTCAACACAGGCAGTGGATGGTTCCTGGATAAGATTATCATCAAACATAAAGAACAAGAGGAAGCTCAGGAGGTTGTATTTCCTTGTAATAGGTATGTTGTTCATGGAGAAAAGGAATTTGTTGCCTGCCAACTACATAATGAAAAAATTTTAGGACAGATATGTACAAAAAAACCTAGATGTTTGAGCAATGCCCCAGAGTTTTTCAGCATACAAGGGGTACAAAATTTTACAGCTGAAGACAAGGAAAAAGGTTCCTGTATTGGCATAGGRAGGAGTTTCCTTCCTATGCAGAGAGGAAAATATTTCTGCCTAATGCAGAGAARTCCCAAACCAAATGTTGCATTTGAGAAAAGGTGCACTGATCTTTTTTTTCAATCAAAATTATACAGGGAACACATGAAATTAAAYAATCTTCCAGTTCTCAATCTTTCAAGAAGCACTGTGTATAAAGATCTGAAAAGACATAGTTGTCGTGGTGGGAACACGATGGGATGTGGGCTGCAGCGCTGCCATGGATGTCTATAAACACTTCAGCAGGGAGAGGCAAGGAAGGAGAGGTGGTATGGTAGCCCTGTATTTTAGGGCATTTTTTGATTGTCTAGAACTTGATATTTGCAATGATAGAGTCGGGTGCTTATGGGTAAGAATCGGGAAAGCCAACAATGCAAGTATTGTGGTAGAAGGGTCTAGGTCTGTTACACACCGGCCAGCCAGGAGGAAGAGGCAGAAGAAATGTTCTTTGAGCAGCTGGAAGAAGCCTCACAATCACCAGCCATTGCTCTCATGACGGACTTTTGTCTGCTGTGAGTACAATCCAGCAGAGAAGAAGCAGAGTAAGAGGTTCCTGGGGCCCATGGAAGGGAACCCCATGAAAGAGCTGGTGAGGTTGCCAGGTAGGGGAGATACCTGCTGGATGAGGGAAAAGGTGAGCCACTTAATGCCTTCATTGCCTCAGTCTTTAACAGTAATGCCAGTTCTCCTGGCAGCCAGCCCCCTGAGCTGGAAGAAARGGGTGGGGAGCAGAATGAATCCCCCACAATCCAAGGGGAAATAATCAGCAACCTGCTGCAGCTCTTAGACATGTACAAGTAAGTCTGTTGGGCTGGATGTGATCCACACAAGGCTACCGAGGGACATAGTTTGGGTCACAACAACCCCATGCAATGCTACAGACTTGGAGCAGAGTGGCTGGAAAGCTGCCTGGTGGAAAAGGAGCTGGGAACGTTGGTCAACAGCAGCTGAACACAAGCCAGTGTGTGCCCAGGTGGCCAAGAAGGCCAGTGGCAACCTGGCCTGGATCAGCCATAGTGTGGCCAGCAGGACCAGGGCAGTGATTGTCCCCCTGTACTTGGCACTGGCGAGGCCTCAAATCTGTGTTCACTTATTGTCAAAAATTATTTTCTGCTTTTAGAAACTGTTATTGATCTTCTCTTTCTTAGGACAGAATGAGGAGATGGGGCCCCACAGTTAATCAAGTTGTTTATTGTAACAAGAGTTGAGATMCAGTGGAGTTTAGACTTCATGCATAGGAGATTTATTCATATAGTTTTGATACATACAAGAAGTGAAATGTTATGAATTCTTRGGTTTGAACAAATACAACATCATCATGGAGTGAATAGAATAGAAGCTGATAGTGAGCACGTATTTATTTAGTTTTTAAATAARTGAAGTTGTTGAAGGTTGGGATGTATTTGAACGAGTGTTCAACTGAAGGAGTGTGAATGTATGTTTGCAGTGAAATGACTGCCAACAATAAGTATTTTGTTAAAGAAAATTTGTTATAGCACTACAGTATATACTTAATSCCTAGTTATTGCTGAAGAACCTTTCCAKATAAGACCATAACTTAAGAAAAAAAAAATAATAAAGCTAGCTCACAATTATTTTTCCTATTCRTATTTCAGAGGCTGGCATTTCAATGAAGGCATTCCGTAAAGGTAAGAGTTGTTTTCCAGCCATTGTTTTCTACACCATAGTTTTTTGCTGTTTGAATTTAAATCAGTATTGTGACAAATATGTGAGCAAGTGACCTCATTTGTATRTGTTTTGTCTTGTATATCAGCTGYGAGAGAAAATGACAAATTGGCTGGCAATAGTCTGMAGAAAGGACTAGACCTTTATAAKCAACTGAGAAAAACAGAAAYMATTTCTGSTTTTCTTCCTATTTCTACTATTCTGTCCTGAAATCAACCAGGAATTCCTCTGAGAAGAGATTCAAGTATTGTTTTGT